CATTACTCAGAGTCATCAGAAATGGAGTTGAATGGAAGTCTGAAAACTACAAAATTAAAGAAACCACATCCATCCAGACTGGTAGGAGGGGTGCAGACGCAGAATAGGCTGGTCCTACATCATTGAGTGGTGGATAAAAATTCAGGAGTGATATCTCTGGAGTGAGGAGTCCCAGCCCCACACCAGTGTACCCTACCACAGGGTTCTAGTGCCAGGAGGGGAAGTCCCCACAACTTCTGGCTACAAAAACAAGTGGGTTTTGAGTCGGTGGAAAAAACTTCTGGAGCCCCAAATGGTTCCTCTTAAAGAACCCACACACAGACTCACCTAATCAGACTTACTCCCTTTGAGCTCCAGCACTGGCGTGGCAGCTTAAAAGACACCAGTGGCATACTGGGAGAAACTGAAGTGTCTGACATCAAGGTGAGCAGAGGCCATAGTCCTTTTTCTCAATTCTCCCCGACAGAGCCACAGCCAGCTAGCTGGTGCCATATCCAAGACTATATCAACCTGGCTAACACTGTTTGACATGCTTTAGAGATCCCCAGAGACTCCTCCCCACCCAAGTTATGGGCCCAGCCAAGCTGCTTTTCCATATCAATGGCTGATCTTGGCTCATGCTGCAAACCTAAATTCTCTCAGACAAGCAACAGCCGGCCTCAGGGAGCCCCTGGTCCAGCACTAGCAGCAGTCAGCCTAGATTCATAGCTTGGTTTCTCCTGGGAATCTCTAAGCCCAGCACTAGTAGCAGCCAGCTCAGATTGCTTTATAGCTCAGGCAGGGTGCCCCGGCGAAACATAGATGGAGGCTGACCTTGGCCTGCACCACGAAAGAAACCCCAGGGCCAGTGCACCCAGTGCACAGCTACAGGCCACATAGGAGCATCACCACCCTGCCCCTGCACAGCTGATCATCCACAGAAGGTGGAGGTTGGTGGTCAGTGGTCACAGCCAGTCCTTGCAGCTGGCTGGTCTAGGTAAGTCTCTCCCATTGACCTACCAACAGCAACCAACGCTCAACTACAAGAGGAGTGTATACTCAGCCCACACAAAGGGCCCACCTTGAATACCCAGCTTGGGTGACAGCAGAGGCTGTGCCACTGGACCCTATAGGACAACCACTACATTAGGCCACACTACCAAGACATGGAGTCAAAGAAGTTCTACCTAATACATATAAACAAACAAAGGGAGGCTGCCAAAATGAGGAGACAAAGAACCATGGTCCAAATGAAAGGACAGATCAAAACTCCAGAAAAAGAGCTAAATGAAATGCAGATACGCAATATATCAGATACAGGGTTCAAAACATTGGTTATAAAGATCCTCAGGAAACTTAGTGAGAACCTCAGAAGCATAAAAAAGATTGAGTCAGAAATGAAGGATACACTGATTGAAATAAAGAACAATTTGCAGGAAAACAACAGTAGAGTGGATGAAGCCGAGAATCACATCAATGATTTGGACTATAAGGAAGCAAAAAACCAACCAATCAGAACAACAAGAAGAAAAAAGAACCCAAAGAAATAAGGATAATGTAAATAGCCTCTGGGACAACTTCAAGAGGCCCACCATAGGGATGCCAGAAGGAGAAGAGAAAGAGCAAGAAATTGGAAAGCTATTTGAAAAAAATAATGACAAAAAAACTTCTCTAATTTCATGAAGGAAATAGACATGCAAGTCCAGGAAGCACAGAGAGTCTCATATAAGATGGATGCAAAGAGGCCCACACCAAAACACATCATTAAAATACCAGAGATTAAAGATAAAAAGAGAATCTTAAAAGCAGCAAAAGAAGTTAGTTACCTACAGTGGAGTTCCCATAAGAATGTCAGGTGATTTCTCAAAAGAAACTTTGCAAACTAGAAGGGACTGGAAAAAAATATTCAAAGTCATGAAAAGCAGGGACATACAGCCAAGATTGCTCTACCCAGCAAAGCAATCATTTAGAATTGAAGGGCAGATAATAAGAGCTTCCCTGACAAGAATGAACTGAAGGACTTCATCATCACCAAACCATTACTATATGAAATGTTAAAGGAACTTATTTTAAAAAAAGAAGGTCAAATCAATGGACAATAAAATGGCAAAAATACATATCTATTAACAATTGTATCTAAAAAAACAAACCAAGCAAACAAAAAGAACAGAGACAGAATCTTGGATACGGAGAGTGATCATTGCCAGACAGGAGAGGGGTGTGAGGGAAGGGGTGAAGAGGTGAGGAGATTAAGAAGTACAAATATGTAGTTACAGAATAGCTATGGGGATGTAAAATACAGTATAGGAAATAGAATAGCCAAAGAACTTACACGCATGACCCATGGCCATGAACAATGGTATGGAGATTGCCTGAGGGAGTGAGGGGTACTGGGTGGAGGACGACAAAGGGGGAAAAACCAGGACAACCATAATAGCATGATCAATAAAATATAATTTAAAAAAAAGAAAACATTTCCACACAAAAATTTGTATACAAATGTTCATAGAAATATTATAATAGCCATAAAGTTGAAACAAACCAAATGTCATCAACTGATGAATAGATAAATATGATATAGACACACAATGGAATATTATGCAGTCATTAAAAGGAATAAAGTTCTGATACATGCTACAATATTGTTGAAACTTGAAACCATTACACTAAGTTAAAGAAGTCATTCACAAAAGACCATATATTGTATAATTCCATTATTTGAAATGCCCAAAATAAGCAAATTCACAGAGACAGAAAGCAGATTAGTGGCTGTCAGGGCTGGATAGGAGAAGGTATAGGGAGATAGGGAAGTGATAGCTAATGAGTATGGTGTATCTTCACAGGTGGACATATTCTGGAATTAGATAGTGGTGACAATAATACAACTTTTTGAAAGTGGTGATGATAATACAACCTTTCAGTTTCAGAAACGCTGGATTGTATTCTTTAAAAAGTTGAGCTTTATGGTATATCAACCATATTTCAATAAAGCTCTTATTTTTTAAGATATGATCATTTGGACCCACAGCACCTGAAGGCATTTTTAGTTACTACATAGACATGAGAATAAATGTTTTGAGAGGAAGAAAGAAAAACCCATGTTTAGCAGGTGTCTCCTTTGAAGTGTGACAATATGTATCCATTAGCTTTTCCTGCAAAAAGAAGATGTGATGTAGAAGAGGCACAGTGGGGACTTCAGCTCTTTTGGTAATGTTTTATTTCTTAATCTAGGTGGTAGACCCACAAATTTTGATTATTTTATTCTTTATATATTCACCATAAAATGCATTTTATAATAAAAGTTTTAAATTGTATGGGAATGCATTAGGACATCCTTTCCTGTATGTGTTACCTTTGCAGCAATCAATTTGCATTGCATGTATACTGTGTTACGTGCTGTATACTCTCTCTGAGGCACTAGCCGATGTATACTAATTACCTGATGCTGTACACTGATTATATTTATATTGTATTATCTAATTTCTTCTGCATTATCTTTTTTCCAGTTTTACTAAGAAGTAGCTGATATACACCAATGTATAAGTTTAAGGTGTACAGCCTCATGGTTTGATTTACATATGCTGCAAAATGATTCCTGCATGAGGATTAGTTACTATCCATTATCTCATATAGATACAATAAAAAGAAGAGAAGAAAATTTTCCTTGTGGTGAGACTTCTTAGGATTTACTGTCTTAACATTTTTCATATATGTCATATAGCAGTGTTCAATAATCATCTTGTGATTTATTTCATCTCCAGTACTTATTTGTGGTATAAATGGAAGTTTGTATCTTTTGGCCATCTTCCTCCAATCCCTTCCCCCATCTTCTGTGTTATTTTATGACAACCAGTGAGAGATTTTTGAGAGATTTTTTCATTAAAGCTTCTAACTGGATAGAAGGAAGTTAATGAAGAGATGTTTGAGTAGGACTCTTTTTGTAAGTGGTTAATATAGTAGTGTATATTTTTCTCTTATGAAAACTTCTGTTTCTGTATGCAACCTTACAACTGTGACTTAAAATACAAGCACTTGAATAATGAGCATCATTAATACTTCAGACACTTTATTTAATCCACAAAACACCAATATAAAGTAGCTATATTAATCCCATTTTCCAAATGATGAAGCACTGGGACAGAGAATAATCCAGTTAGCAATTCAGAAGAAAAAGATCTTTCTTGCTCTAACAAAAAGGTCCAGTGCACTGCTGGGTATATTCAACCTCCTACTCCAAGCCCTTAGCCACACTTTTTAGAATTTCCTTCCTTTAGGGCTTTGGCAAGGTTAAAAAAAACAAAAAACAAACAAACAAATGAAAACAAAACCCAGAAACACCAGAATCAAAAGCTCTTCTTGGCATTTGTAAGAAATTTTGTGTTCAGGCCTTAGTGGGTGGGAAAAGCAATTCTAGTTACCCAAAGTAAAGGGAGATGAGGGAAGGGAGGAGGAAATGCAGGAACAGTCTTGTGGAGAGGATTTCTCCCCTCAGGGTGGAACAAAGGCCAAGGTCAGATCTGGGAAGGAAAAGTCTGCTTGGCGTTTGTGAGGAGAAGCCACTTCCATTTTAAATACCAATTAGTAATTAACCCACCAACTGGAAAAAGTCTAATGCCACTTTCAAAAGGAAAAAAGAAATTCACTTGGCTACAAATTTGCTTATGTAATAGGAAGGTTGATTTTATTGGTGGGCTGCCTTTTCTTTTGCAGCAAGAAGGAAGGAGGTTCCTAATTTGTTCATAGCTCTCTTTTGTACACATTTGTGTTTGTTTGGCCTTTAAACATAAAAAGTTTCACAGGAACACATTGAGAATTTAAAAAAGGGAAAAAGTGATTTCACCTACTTTTGAATAGTAAAAGTTTATAAACCTATACTGAGCACATCAAGCTGGAAATGAGCTCACACAGATACACAAAATACTTTCAGGGAAGCAAATGAATCCACAATGGTTGTAAAAGTGACAGTTTGACCTCTGACCAGAATACTATTGGAACTCTGAGAAAATAATTTAATTATTTACCTTCCCATAGGAAATCCTGACATTTTTGACATCTTGCATGAAATTGGACACATTCTGACAAATTCTGGCCACGATCTCCACACAGTCCTCTGTCATGCACAGGCACTGTCTTAGAACTCTGGCTTCCAGGTTCAGCATCTGCAGTAACACAGCACTTACACATCAGTATCATTAAAGTCTGCACTTTGAGTGGATACAATGCCATTTCTTTTTCTTGCTGATGCTTTCAAAATCTTCTTCCTTATTTAATTATAGGAGTGCATGTTGGTGTAACAATTTGCTATGGTAATTTGACATCTATTAAAAATTGCATATATCTTTTAATTCAGCAATTTCATTACTATTATTATTACTCATCAGTATTAGTACACTCCCTTTGCCCCACCTCCAGAAAGACTTTTATTTTCTGGAAGGAATCATGAGGAATTATTAATGCTAACTATCTTTCAGAAATTTGATGGGGTAGGAGAGGGCAGCTTTCATTAATTTTATTCTTTGTATATACAAATTATTTTAAATTTAGTGTGTCTTATTTTTATCATTATTATTTCTGATGTCAATAGGGTTAACTAAACAGGAGATTGTAAGATACTTTTCTCTTTGGACTTGTATTTAAAAAGCCTAATAATTATTGTAATTTTGAAAGCTATAATTGGGAAGTACATTGGAGTTTCAAAGATACTGAAAATGTCTGCTTTTTAACCTTAGTGGCTGGGATTCACTTGAATACCTTTTTTTTTTTTTTTTGCATTTCATATATATAATGTTATGAATGGTAGGTTGTTTAGGAGAAAGCATCTAAACCAGACCAAATTTTGAGAAGCCTTTTTTTCTGCAAGAATTAACTATATAAAAATGATGATGTAAAAAGAAGTCAATCCAACAGCACACTGACAGTTCCCAATTGAGAGTTTTACATTAGAAAAAAGAAATCATTAATTTCTAACCTGTTGATTTTCTTTTATATTTAATCCTCAACATTTAAAAATGAAACGTTTCATTTTGAGATAAACTGTGCAGTTCAGCTTAAAAACCTGTGAGGTATTCGTTGGGCCATATGGTGCGTAAGGCAATCATTTCCTTCATCGGATAGAAAGTCATTTTCTCCCAGCTTCCAGCTCTAGATTTAGTGGCATCTCCTCTTGCCCCCCAGGGACCCTATGAGGAGTTCTATAGTAGAACTTATTTCTGCTTTGTGTACTGTTTGTTTACTTTCTTATCTTTTCTATTAGACTCTGACACCCTTGAGGGATGGGATTTGGTCTTATCCTTTTAATCTTTTCATTTCTCCACACCTTCTTCTGTCATATCACTTGTGATATGATAATGCAATTGCCCACTGATCTGTTTGTCCTCCTTTCTCTGAACTGAGCTCCTAAAAGTCAGTGGCTGTGTCATAATCATTGTCTTATTTCTAGCATCTAGATTAATACCTGATGTATAAATCAGGGATGGCAAACTTCATGTCCCTACGACACCAATTCCTCATTCTACACCCACAGCAGTAACTCACCTCACTTCAGTCTCGCCATGACAGAGCTGCAGGACCCTTCTAGGCAGCTATCCCTGATATTCATCATCTATACTATCCTATCTACCTCTGTTTCCTCCCACAAGGGAAAATTAAGGTCAGCAAACACTTTCTAAAGTGGGATTGGAACCCAGGTCTCCCAGCACCCAGCACTATGTCAAGCTACTACACCCCACAGTTTTATTCAACAGGGTCTCATCTATTCTTTCTAGGGATTTATAAGGCCCATGAGGACAATTGAAAAAATTATTTTATTCTCTTTCAACACATTCAGGAATTGAGGTCTTGAAAGATCAAAGTAGAAAAGAAATGCTTCCACATGGAGATTAAAAGAAACAACACTCAAGAACATAAAAACAGTATTAAACAAGGTATTTCTTGTGTTTATTATAGCCCCTCTTCTTTTAATAATATTCATTATTCAATTTTAGCTATTTTTCTAATTTTGGCTTTTAGGACGGTCATGACAAATACAGCCCGTTCATGAAGGTTGCCTGTACACAATACTCACTCAGTAAGTGTTGGCCATTTTACTTAACAAGGGATGTGTGATAGTTTCCTATTACTGTTGTAACAAATTGCCACAAATTTAGTGGTTTAAAGTAACATGTTATCTTACATTTCTATAGGTCAGAGATCTGAAATGGGTCCTACTAGGCTATAATCAAGGTGTTGGCAGGGCTGGTTTTTCCTAGAGACTCTAGGAGAGAATCCATTTCCATGCCTTTCCATTTTCTGGAGGCCACCTGTACATGGTCCCATTTTCTATCTTCAAAGCCTGCCAAGTGGGACCAAGTCCTTATCATGCTGCCATCTCTTTTGATTCTTTTCTGCCTCCTTTCCCCACTTTTAAGGATGCTTGGAGGCCCTTGGATAATCCAAAATAATCTCCCTATTTTAAGGTCATCTGATTGGCAACTCAGTTTTATCTGCAACCTTACTTTCCCCTTTCAATGTAACCTAACAGAATCACAGGTTGTAGGGATTAGGACATTGACATCTTGGGGAAGCTGTTATTCTGCCAACCATGAGGAGTAAAATTCAAAATGTCTTCTCATTAGATGGATTTTCTAGAGCTACAGCTTTATTTTTCACTTAACCCCTGTCCAGAAAAGTGATGAAAACTGCATGTAAATACTTGCCAGCCCCTGCCTGCCTATATTTTTTCTTTGCTTTATCCTTCTGGGACATTTTTTCATTGCTTCTAGAGAGAGAGGAAGGAAGAGAGAGAAACACTGATGCGAGAGAAGCATCAATTGGTTGTCTCTTGTATGTGCCTGGACCAGGGATTGAAACTGCAACCTTTTGGCCACAGGACAATGCTCCAATTGAGCCACACCAGCCAGGGTTACCTGCCTATTTTTTATAAACTGTCCTCATGTGTTCATCTGGGAAGAGAATGTCTCCTCTGTTGAGACTGCTGTGCACCATCTGGGTAGGGTAGGGGTGCTGGATAAAGAAGAGTATAAAGGTGCAACACGGGAGCTTTTTGTTTGCTGTTTTGTTTTTGTCATTAATTTTTGCATTTATAGGGGACCCTGGATCTCCAAGTTATCACTGAGGTGAAGGTGGAATGAGAGGCAGGGAGAGGGGGCGGCCCATGAGCCAGCTGAGAGTAGGGGCTGGTCCCAGAGTGTGTGAATGAGGGGTAAGCTCTGGCATGGTGGTGGAAACCCACATTCTGAATAGGGGGAGAGAGAGGAGTTGCAGTGGTTGGGAAATTGTTTAGATTTCAACTGTATGAGTTACTAGTACTCTTGTACTCCTATGAATGTAGCAACTCATGTGTAAGATTGCTACACTATGTGACATATAGGGTAGGAGGGGGGCATAATTTTGTTTTAATGAACATGTTCTATATTATTGGAAAATTACTCCACAGCAATTGATATATTCAGGCAAAAATTATCCAATATCATCCCTGCATTGGTATACAGGGTCTGGTAGAAGTAAGGCCTGCTTAATTGTGGTCTATAGGATAATAATATGAATGTAATAATTTATAGTTTTAATTTGAACATTTCACCTAAAATGTCATATGGTGTGCTTGAGTGTGATATTGTTATGTTACAGAATTTCATGGTAATTTTTTGGTAATAAAAGATTTTGTAACAAAAAGGGGCATTACTTGTGCTGGACTCTGTATTTAGTCTTTTGCCCTTATGTTTTTCTTGAATATTTGGTGAACTTGGAATCTCAGAATGGAATACCAGTCAAAACACATGACTTACCAGAAAAGTCCACCAGACCCTGAAATAGAACCTAACGACAATTCCAGTAATGATGGCTGTTTTACTCATGGAACAATAGGACGGGAAGGATGTAATGTGTGTTTTCCTGGCTTCAGTTTCTGACAGTGTGAGGTAAGCCCCACCCATACAGAGGCGAGTTATGTGATGTCATGGCAATTTTAAGAATTTGATTCAAATGTTGCCAACTACAGCTGATATAATTGGGAAATATTTAGAAGGCGCTCTTTTCTCCCTACATACAAAAATATCTATATATAATTAATATATACATCTTGATGAGTTTGGAAATAAGTATATACCCATGAAATTATTCAATTTATGCCATAAAACTATCCATCCCCTCTAAAAATGTCCTCTTGCCTTATTATTATTATTATCATTGTTATTATTATTATTACCAAGAACTCTTAACATAAGATTTACACTCTCAGCAATTTTTTAAGTATTCATTAGACTATTGTTAACTATGGGCGCTATGCTATGCAATAAATCCCTAGGACTTATTTATCTTATAGAACTGAAACTTTGTACCCTTTGACCAATACTTCCCCATTTCCCCTTCCCTTCTGCACCTGGCAACCACCATTCCACTCTCTGCTTCTATGAGTTTCACTATTTTAGATTCTTCATACAAGTGAGAACTTGTATTTGTCCTTCTGTGTTTGGCTTATTTCACTTAGTATCATGTCCTCCAGATTCATTCATGTTGTTGCACATGACAGGACTTTAGAAGGAGCCATTTTATTTTTCATGTCAGAGGGGAACAACCTCAATGGTCAATAGGAAAGAAGTCCCAGGAAACGCAGCTCCTACTGTTGGCCCACAGAGCAACTTTCATTTGTGAGATGCTGCATCCCAGCCACTCTACAGAAGCCTGAAGAAGTTTTCTCCTTCTTCCTTGAAACATAAGTCAGAATTGTTTTTCCAACATGAAATATTGAGGCATGGGCATGAGTGGTATTGGTAAAAGGCAACTCATGTTTTTTTACAGAAATCCTTATTTCTGAAGTTTTGGGTTTGTCTATGCGCATTTTCTGTGACTTTGTGCATAAATGTTTTGATTTAAGGAATTACAGTAGTGATGCAGAGGAGGCCATGGAGGGTACTGAATGTGACCGGCTTTTACACGACACTAGGCTTTTCCATATTGGGAGTTGAGGATCCTATTATTTTAAAGAAACCACAAGGTTGCAACAGAATGGAGCTGAGCATAAGCATGAGTTTTAATGAAGGAGGCAACCTTTTTTTCCTCAAAAAATTTCTCACCCTACTAGCATTTTCCTCTTCAGTTTTGATAATTTGCTTTAATAACAGAACATGCCCACAGAACTCTACCATAATGGAAGACAGACTGCTTGGAAGACTTCAGAGCTTCTAAGAGGCTCTGAAACTTTGGTTATCCATAAATTATCACTCTCAGAAACATTGTACAATGACTTAGAAATGTCCACCATTCGCAAAGCTAAATAAAACTTGACTTTACTATGAACATCTAAGTAAAAATAATCTTTTAATACTCACCTTTATGTTGTTTTGGTAAATAATCCATTGCATTCAGCATCTCAGTAATTGTTGTGCTGACACTTTGATAAATGGAGAGACTGAAATTACAAAACAGCTGGAAGAAACTGGGAATGTCCCAGCTTTGCACAAGACCTGCTTTTCTCATTGGCTCTTTGAAGAAAGCTGGAAAAAAGTAAGGCTCAATTAAGTCTGTGTCTGACATGAAATATGACTGAAAAGCCTGGTCAAATTCTTGCTGCATCTGTTTGAAGACATTAAAACTCCTGTTGAAGAGAAATCTCACATCCACCATCAGTTGGCTGAACACGTGCTCTATTTGGGTCACTTGTGCATCTTCCATGATCTTTTCACTGAAAAGGAGATCTTTTTCATTATCTTCATGGAAAGAAAACAGAAATTGATATATCTTCCTGAAAAACTGTTCAATCTGTGGAGTCAGGGATGGAATGGAATAAGAAATTTATTACCTTTCTGGGCTATTTTTTTATTATAAATTTTAAAGTCAACTTACAGTAGTCATTCCAAATCAAGAACAATTCTGGGCATACTAGAAAAAGGTAATTCAATGTAAGATAATTTATTAGCCTTGACTTTGACTATGGAAATAGGATCTGAAATTCCTTTTGGTTTATGTTTGCTTATAAAAGGCCTAAAAAAGGCCAAGTTTTCAATATTTTTGACAAGCCACAGTCTAATGTACTGGTGGTGGTTGGCATACCATGGTCCAAAGGGTGCTGTGCAGATTGCCTGAAAACTATAAATAAGGTTCTTGTCTTTCAGCTCTGTCTTAGTGTCTTAGTTCTTCTCTTTTTTCCTTTCAGTGGACTATCATTAGTGTCTTTATCCTCTGCTCTTTCTCATCTCATTAAAACATTTACACTAAACTGTAGATGCCTAATATAGCTAAAAAGGTTACTTAGGATGTTACTCATTTGCAGCGATCAAAGCCCTTCTTGCCATAATGAAAGGGATGAAGCTCTAATTATAGAATTCTCTACTCATTTGGAGAAGATTTTCTAGCAGCTACACCATGTTCTACATCTGTGTGACACCTAAGTTCGTGCCAGAACATTGCCCTTACATGATAGTAATATGGCTATCCTGTGTGTTATGGAACACACACATCACTGCTATAGCATCCTAGAGCTATTCAAAGAATTCTCCAGAAATTTTTAGAGAACTCATGCTTTCTCAAAAAGTAATCTGGGTGGATCATCTGTCTCTCCCTCTGCCAGCTTCTGTTTACCTGAATCCATTTATAAAAACAAAACTTTAAAGCCCCAGGAAATTTTCATAAGGCCACACAACTGACAGATAATAATGGTCCCCAAACCTCCTGACTTCCAGCCAGTGCTTATTCCACCATATTCTGTGTATTAGAGAGTAGCAATAAAAATAGAGCAGATGCAATTAACAGTGGAGGCAAATTAACTTGGCGTATGAATCATCCTAAGGGTTGCTCACTCTATAATTGGGTATGGCCCTGCCAAGCGAGGAGCATACTCTAATTAGTGCATGCTCTAATATGGAGAGGGAAATTTCACTCCATTTCATATTCAGCTCACTTCTTGAAAGCGAAGGGAAATTCAGGCCAATAGAGTAGGAGAGTTTTATAGGGCAGAGCTCATTCTATTCAGGTCACCTCCCTCTGTGATTCCCTCTGTCCAGAAGATAGCCAAAGGGGACAAAAAAGAAAACATGCCAGTCCTATAAGACATGCATGGATAGGCCTAAAGGGACATGAATCTCTGCTTGTGCGCACACTCATGTGCATGCTGCCATACATAAGAGGGCAAGCCCATTGAAAGAGATTCGGGAGGCAAGGAATGTCTTCAAATGTTTGGTCTCCAGGGGAAAAAAATTAAAGCAGTTTGAAATCAGAGACTATAAGACTATTATTTAGAATACAATTCAGCAAATATTTATTGGATATCTATAAGGCTTTAATGAAGATAGATGAGATATGGTCCCTGCCTTTAAAGAGCTTACAGTCTAATGGGAATGTGTTCACAAATAATAAATACAAGGCAGAAAGAGTCAGGGTGTTTCTAAGGGAGGTACATACAGTGTCATTAAACAGTGGGACAAATGCTGAATTGTTTTAACTTATAAATTGTATATACACAAGTGAATCATATATAAGCATGAATGCTAGAGTCTAGATTGCAAAAGGCCAATATCCAGATCAGGCATCTGTATTCTACATATTAATATAAATTAATTTTTAAAAAGCAAGTTGAAGTAGGTACCTTAAAAACTTTGAAAGCTTATGCTCTCTTATTCCCTTACCATATTTTCCATAAAGGACCAACTAGGTTGGCAGGTTGAATAAAATTTCATGCAGTCACTTTCCAGGCAAGACTTGCGTTCGTCCCAGGAATCTGCCAGAGATTCCTGGCATAACCTTTCTCCCTCTTCCAGATATTCTTGAACTTCGTTCATAAGTTTCAGGGCCTCCTAATTAAAAAGTAGAAACAAACATCCTATTTGCATTTCATGACTCAAATGTTTTATATATCTCATTTGATTCCACTCTTTAAAAATATGCATATTCTAACCTACCTTATTCCTTTTTCAAGCCCATAGCAGCTGACAGGTCTACCCCAAAGAAAGCTTCTCTTTGATTAAGAAAAGAGCACTGAGCCCTTGCCGGCATGGCGCAGTTGTTTGGGCATCATCTGGCAAAGGGAAAGGTCACCAGTTGGATTCCTAGTCAGGGCACATGCTTGGGTTGTGGGTTCTGTCCCCTATTGGGGCACGTGTAAGAAGCAACTGATTGATGTTTCTTTTCCCCTCTTTCTCCCTCCTCTACCTTCTCTCTAAAAATAAATAAATAAATAAATAAATGTTTAAAAAAAATTTTTAAAAATCCATTCCCTTCTCAAAATAAAAATAAAAAAGCACTGATTGATCCCTATTGAAGACTGTGAAAATCTTATCCAGCTGTTCATTTATTCATTCACTTGGTATCTATTGAGTGTTTGCTATGGGACAGACATTAATAGGTACAGGTAAACTAGCAATGAAGACACAGTCCCTGCTCTGGAAAACGAATGTAATTAACCTGTTTACTTGTCTGTCTTCACATCTAGTCCTTGATGGATGTGGAAAGTAGTTTTAAGGCTTAGAAAGCTGGTGCATTTATTTTTTTCAGTTATGCTGCTTTTAATTTTTGTATGAAAAGTTAATTTTAACTTTTCAAGAAAGCGTGATTCTTATATGTCAAATCACATCTTCCTACTGATAATTCTAATTGCCGAGATGCTGTATTTTTTCCTATTTGTAATATATTTTTATTAATTAATTTATTTTTTCAAATACATTTGGCTCTGCCTTCCCCCCAGCACTTTCCCCTCCCTGCTCCCCCCTCTCCATCCCTCAATCTCTCCCCACTTTGGCTTTGTCCATGAGTCCTTGCTATGTTTCTTGACTTGCCCCTTTCCTTCCTTTACCCCCACCCACCCCTCCCTCCTTCCCTCTTGTCTTTGTTGGTTTCTTTCTTCTTTCAGTGTTGCTGGTCTTATTTTCCCTACATCTTTGTTTTGTTGGTTAGGTTCTGCTTCTAGGTGAGATCATATGGTATTTATCTTTTGCCCCCTGGCTTATTTCGCTTAGTACAATGCTCTCCAGTTCCATCCATGCTGCCACGAAGTGTAGTAGTTGTTTTTTTTTTTTTTTTTTCCTGCTGCAGAGTATTCCATTGTGTAAATGTACCATAATTTTGTGATCCAGTCACCTACTGAAGGGCATTTAGTTTGCTTCCAACACTTGGCTATTGTAAATTGTGCTGCTATGAACATTGGGGTGCATAGGTTCCTTTGAACTGGCGTTTTGGGATTCGTAGGGTATGGTCCCAGCAGGGGAATCACTGGGTCAAAAGGCAGTTCCATTTTCAGCTTTTTGAGGAAATTCCACACTGCTTTCCACAATGGCTGCACCAGTCTGCATTCCCACCAACAGTGGACTAGGGTTCCCTTCTCTCCACAGCCTCGCCAGCACCTGTTGTTTGTTGATCTGTTTATGATGGCCATTCTGACCAGTGTGAGGTGGTATCCCATTGTGGTTTTGATCTGCATTTCTCTGATGGCTAGTGATGCCAAGCGTCCGTTCAAATGCCTCTGGGCCCTCTGTATATATTCCTTGGAAAAGTGTCTGCCCAGGTCCTTTGCCCATTTTTTGATTGGATCGTTTGTCTTCTTGGAGTGGAGTCGAGTGAGTTCTTTATATATCTTGGAGATGAAACCTCTATCTGATGTATCATTAGCAAATATATTTTCCCATATGGTTGGTTCCCTTTTCATTTTGCTGATGTTTTCTTTTGCCATGCAGAAGCTTCTTATTTTGATGAGGTCCCACTTGTTTATTCTTTCCTTTATGTCCCTTGCTTTAGGAGACATATCAGTGAAAAAATTGCTGTGTGGGATATCTGAGAGTTTCTGCCAATGTTCTCCTCTAGGACATTTATGGTGTTGCGACTTATATTTAAGTCTTTTATCCATCTTGAGTTTATTTTTGTGTATGGTGTCAGCTGATGATCCAATTTCAATTTCAACAACATTTGTTGAAGAGGCTATTATCACTCCACTTTATGCTTCTGCCCCCTTTGTCAAATATTAGTTGCCCATAGAGACCTGGGCTTATTTCTGGGCTTTCTATTCTGTTCCACTGGTCTATGAGTCTGTTCTTGTGCCAGTACCAGATTGTTTTGAGTATAGTGGCTTTCTAATATAGTTTGATGCCTGGTATTGTGATCCCTCCTACTTTGTTTTTCTTTCTCAAAATTGCTGTGGCTATTCAGGGTTGTTTCTGGTTCCATATAAATTTTTGAAATGTCTGTTCTATTTCTGTGAACTATGTAATTGGTATTTTAATAGGGATTGTGTTGAATCTATAATTGCTTTGGGTAGTATGGACATTTTGTTGATATTAATTCTTCCAATCCATGAACATGGTATATGCTTCCACTTATTTGTGTCTTCCTTAATTTCTTTCTTCAATGTTGTATAGTTTTCTGGTCTTTTACCTCGGTTAAATTTATCCCTAGGTACTTTATTTTTCTTGTTGTTATATCGAATCGTATTTTTTTCTGATTTCTTCTTCTTCTATTGCATTGCTGGTGTACAAAAATGCCTTTGATTTCTGAATATTGACTTTGTATCCTGCTGTTTTGCCAAATTCACTTATTAGGTTGAGTAGTTTTATGGTGGAGCCTACAGGGTTTTCTATGTACACTATCATTTCATCTGCAAACAAGGATAGTTTTACTTCCTCCTTTCCTATTTGGATGCCTTTTATTTCTTTCCTGTCTGATCATTGTGGCTAGGACTTCCAATACTATGTTGAAGTAAAGTGGTGAAAGCGGACATCCTTGTCATGTTCCCAATCTTAGAGGGAAATCTTTAGTTTTTGCCCATTGAGTAAGACGTTGGCTGTAGGTTTTTCACATATGGTGTTTATTACATTGAGGAATGCCCCATTTATTCCCATTTTATCGAGTGTTTTGATCATAAATGGGTGCTGTACCTTATCAAATGCTTTTTCTGCATCTATCGAGATGATCATGTGGTTTTTTTCCTTTCCTTTCATTTATGTAATGTATTATATTTATTGACTTGTGTATATTGAACCATCCCTGCATCCCTGGGATGAATCCCACTTGATCGTGGTGGATAATCTTTTTAATGTATTGCTGGATGTGGTTTGCCAATATTTTGTTGAGGATTTTAGTGTCTATGTTCATCAGCGAAATTGACCTGTAGTTTTCTTTGTAAGGTCTTTCCTTATCTGGTTTTGGGATTAGGGTGATGCTGGCCTCATAGAAAGAGTATGGGAGTCTTCCCTCCTCTTGGATATTTTGGAATAGTCTGAGAAGGACAGGGGTTAGCTCTTCCTTAAATGTTTTGTAAAATTCTTCTGTGAAAAAGTCCAGCCCAGGGCTTTTGTGTGCCGGGAGTTTCTTGATTACTGCTTCAATTTCCCCAGCTGTTATCGGTCTGTTCCAGCTTTCTGCTTCGTCCTCCTTCAGTGTTGGAAGATTATACTTTTCTAGAAATTTGTCCATTTCATCAAGGTTTTCGAATTTCTTAGCATATAATTTTTCATAGTAGTTTCTGACAATCCTTTGTATTTCTGTGGTATCAGTTGTTATTTCTCCTCTTTCATATCTGATATTATTAGTTTGGGTCCTCTCCCTTTTTTTCTTGATGAGTCTGCTTAAAGGCTTGTCAATTTTATTTATCTTTTCAAAGAACCAGCTTCTGGATTGGTTGATCCTCTGAATTGTTCTTTTTATCTCTATGTCATTCAGTTCTGCTCTAATCTTGACTATTTCCTTCCTTCTACTTGCTCTGGGGTATATTTGTTGTTGTTTCTCCAGTTCTTGAAGTTGTAGTGTTAGGTCTTTTATTTGAAATGTTTCTATCTTTTTTAGGTAAGCCTGTATTGCTATGAACTTCCATCTCAGGACTGCCTTTGCTGTGTCCCATAGGTTTTGGACTGTTGTCTGTTCATTTTCATTTGTTTCCAGAAACTTTTTGTTTCCTTCTCTTATCTCATTATTGACCCATTCATTGTTTAATAGTCTACTGTTTAGTCTCCATGAGTTTGCAAGTTTTTGAGGTTTCTCTTTGAGGTTGATTTCCAGTTTCAAGCCCTTGTGGGCTGAGAAAAAGTTTGGTATTATTTCAATTTTCCTGAATTTGCTGAGGTTTGCTTTGTGTCCTATCATGTGGTCTATCTTTGAAAAACTGCCATGAGCATTTGAAAAGAATGTGCATTTTTCTTCTTTGGGATGTAAGGTTCTATATATGTCAGTTAAGTCTTTTTGATTCAGTGTGTCATTCAGAGCCACAATATGTTTATTAATGTTTTGTTTGGAAGATCTGTCCATTTTTGACAGTGGGGTGTTGGAATCCCCTACTATCAGTGTGTTCCTGTCTATATCTTTTTTGAAGTCCTCCAACAATTTCCTTATAAACTTGGGGGCTCCTCTATTGGGAGCATATAAGTTTACAATGTTGATGTCTTCTTGATAGATTCTTCCTTTAAGTATTATAAAGTGCCCCTCTGGGTCTCTCTTTATGGCCTTTGTTTTGAAATCTACTTTGTCTGATACAAGTATGGCAACCCCGGCCTTTTTCTCATGTCCATTTGCTTGGAATATTTTTTTCCATCCCTTTACTTTCAATCTGTGTAGGTCTCTTGCTCTGAGGTGGGTCTCTTGTAGGCAGCATATGTGTGGGTCATGTTTTCTTATCCATTCAGCTACCCTGTGTCTTTTGATTGGGGCATTTAGTCCATTCACATTGAGAGATATTATTGATAGAAACTTACTCATCTTTTCTCTTTGTACCTGTGTTCCTCTCTGTCTCATTCTTTTCCTTCATCTGCTTAAACCAGTCCCCTTAGCATGTCTTGGAGTGCTGGTTTGGTAGAGATGTATTCTTTTAGCCTTCTCT